TGAGACTAATCAACCTCAGTCTAGCACAGGGGGTTATAACCAGCCCAGTCAAGGCTATGGACAGAGTAACTACAGTTATCACCAGGTTCCTGGAAGCTACCCGATGCAGCCAGTCACTGCATCTCCATCCTGTCCTCCTACCAGCTATTCTACACAGCTGACTAGTTATGATCAGAGCAGTTACTCTCAGCAGAACACCTATGGGCAGCTGAGCAGCTATGGACAGCAGAGTAGCTGTGGTCAACAAAGCAGCTATGGGCAGCAGTCTCTCACTAGTTATTCCCCGCAGACTGGATCCTACAGCCAGGCTCCAAGTCAATATAGCCAACAGAACAGCAGCTACGAGCAGCAGAGTTCATTCCAACAGGACCACCCCAAGAGCATGGGTGTTTATGGGCAGGAGTCTGGAGGATTTTCTGGATCAGGAGAAAACTGGAGCATGAGTGGCCCTGATAACCAGGGCAGAGGAAGAGGGGGATTTGATTATGGAGGCATGAGCATAGGTGGGTGGGGAGGAGGATGAGGTGGAATGGGCGCTGGAGAGTGAGGTGGCTTCAATAAGCCTGGTGGACCCATGGATGAAGGACTAGATCTTGATCGAGGCCCTCCCATAGATCCTGTTGAAGACTGACAAGAGTACAATTTATGTACAAGGACTAAATGACAATGTGACACTTGATGATCTGGCAGACTTCTTTAAGACATCTACCTGGACAAGGAAACAGGACAGCCCAAGGGTGATGCCACAGTGTCCTCTGAAGATCCACCGACTGCCAAGCCTGCTGTTGAGTGGTTTGATGGGAAAGATTTTCAAGGAAGCAAACTTAAAGTGGAGGTCCAGGTGGCCCAGGAGGTCCTGGGTGACCCACGGGTTGCATGGGAGGTTATGGAGGAGACAGAAGAGGCTTCCCTCTGAGAAGCCCCCAGGGTTCCTGTGGAAAGCCCTCTGGAGGAGGAAACATCCAACAATGAGCTAGAGACTGGCAATGTCCCAATCTGGGTTGTGGAAACCAGAACTTTGCCTGGAGAACAAAATGCAGCCAGTGTAAGGCCCCCAAACCTAAAGGCTTCCTCCCACCCCTGAGTAGTGATTGTGGCAGAGGTAGCCCAGGTGGCATGCAAGGAGAAAGAGGTGGCCTCATGGACCATGGTGGCCCTGGTGGCCATGGTGGAGACAGAGGTGGCCGGGGTGGAGACAGAGGTGGTTTCTGTGGTGGCTGTGGCATGGACCGAGTGGCTTTGGTGGAGGAAGATGAGGTGGTCCAGGAGGCCCTCCTGGAGCTTTGATAGAACAAATGGGAGGAAGAGGAGGTGGACGTGGAGGACCTGGAAAAATGGATAAAGGTGAGTACCGTCAGGAGCACAGAGACTGGCCCTACAAGATGCAGAGAGCCTGCAGAGGTGCACTGACTACCAGATTTATTTTTTAAACTGGAAAATGTTTTAAATTTATAATTCTATATTTATAATGTTGGCTGCAACATTATGATTATTCCTTGTCTGTACTTTAGTAGTTTTCACCATTTATGAAAAAGGATTAAGACAAGTTAAATGGTAGAGTGCTGAATTTTGTTTTGTTTTTTTCTTCTTTTAAAGACGTTGTTTTCCTGAGGGGATTTCACTGACCTTATCAGACCCAAAAGCTGCAACTCTTGTTGCATAGGTCCTGCTTTACCTTGGTCTTAACCATCCAGAAGAAAAGTATAAAAACGAAATATAAGAAATAAAGCCATGCTATTATGTTGAGCTGTGGGGACTCAGGTCAACAATTTCTGACATTGCCAGTGAAGTGGAAGACTCAATACTATTATGGGCTACTGGACTCTTTTAGAATATTTTGCTGAGTTTACACACCTATAATATTCAAATAACGGAACTTAACAAAAACAAGGCTATAGATGAATGTCCATTTTGTATCTGTGTATTCAAAGTGGTTAGGATAGATATATAGTTACATTCTCTTAATGAATAGAATGATTTGTTTTAATGGTGTTTGTAAATAGGATATCAAGTCCGCATCTTGTACAGCAATTAACCACTAAGAAGAATGTATGCACTGTGTTGATTATTGAAACTGTCTTACCGATTTGATTTGAAACTGTCTCATTGCTATTTGTTTAGCAATAAAAGTATGGCAAAAAAAAAAAAAAGATGTTGTTTAACTAAGATTTAACAATGGGAACCCTTGTGAGCATCTCAATTATCGTTGTGGAGAACCAAGAGGGCCTCTAGCTGAAACAATGTTTGGGTCTGTGATGTGCTTTTTTTAAAGTAAAATTTCAAGTGTTTATTATATATATATATCTTTGGACCTCAATTTAATGTATTACTCAGTTAATACTCCTTGAACTTGTTTTTATTTCTACTGATCCTTTAAATTTAAGAAAAATTAATTCCATTTTGAAATCTTTCTGGTTCTTTACACAAATCTGCGATATGTTTTTTTCTGTAGCGCGTTGGGACCCAAAAGTGTTTACAGCTTATGATGTGTTTCGTGTAAGTCTAATTACATCTGAGCTTATCGTACGGGAGGTAGAAACTCAGCGGAGTGGAGTCAAGGCTATATTTGACCTGGAAGGCTGGGAGTTTTCACATGCTTTCCAGATTACTCCATCTGTAGCCAAGAAGATTGCTGCTGTACTTACAGTAAGTGGATATTTTAACTGTTATAACACAAATAATTGATTTTTAGTGCATTTATTAGACACTTAAATGAAATTTTAGGAAAAATATATAATTGAATAATGCCAATAGGCAGTAAGGTGTAGCTTATAATAGGAAATACTGTAATAAACTAAAATTAACAATCACAGAATTTATACATTTAAATAACCTTGTGGTGACAATTTCATCATTAAAATTTTTTTCCTAAATTGAAAAACTGACTCAAAATTAATAATACTGATTCAACAAAATGTCTTATAGGTATAAACTGTTATGTCTCCCCCTGAAAGTTTTTTAAAAGGCTATTATCTTTGGCTCACTAATTCTACTTCTGGGAACCTCATTAGAGAATAATCTTAACTGTGGAAAGGCATCATATAGTGAAAGTATTATCTTACTATGTCCAGGGAGTCTAAGTGTTTCAAGCACATCACCTCTTTATGGATTTATCAGCCTACCAATGTATGACTATAATCTTCCCCATTTTGAAAATTAATAAACTATGTCAGAGAAGTAGACACAGCAGTGCTCAGGCATACATTCTTCAGCAGTGAAGGAAGGATTCCAGTCCAGGTGATCTAAAGCAAAAATAGTTGTTTATGATCACTACTCTTCCTATACATGAACAGTTATTACAGCATCCCTTTCAACAGAATAAAATTAGAAACAGGAAGCAGGAAACAGTCACATGAATGACAGTACCTCCACCTGATGGGCTTTTGCAACAACATCAAGACTCATGACGATTACAGCAATTGTGGGACTTAACGAAACACAACAGGATGTAAACTGTTTAGAAAACATGTTAAAATCCTGTTTAAAATAAAATTTTATACTGGAATAACCTGGAGAAAAAATGAAAAAAGAAATAAAAACTAGTGATGGAAAGAAAAACCTTGCATAAGAAAACCTTGGAAGAAAACGTTTTCTATTAACAGCGTAACTTAGGTAGAGAAACTATTTGATGAGAATTTTTTTTAAATAAAAGAACTGTTTACTTTTCAAATAGGCCAATATTACATACATGGTAAAGATATGTACTAGTGTCAAATGTTTAAAACATTTGTATCTACTGTCATGTGGTTTCAATTTTCATAAGAGATTTTTGGACAAAAATAATTTTGGCAGAACTGTCAAATTATCAATGTTTAAATTAAAGAACAATTTTGTGCAATTGTGTAAAGGATTTCCTGGTGAAAATAAATGTACTTTCTTTTTTCTAAGAAACATAAAAAGTAGCATTTATTTTTATTATGTATTTTAGTACACGGACTTCACTGTCTCACTCCACAGATCAGACTCATAGTGATCCTCCTGCTGTCAGCCTCCTCAGTGCTAAGATCACAGGCATGTGCCACCATGCCTTGACTCAAAGGCTTAGCACACCCGGGGGGGCGGGGACTGGTGCAGCATGCAGGACCGGGGATCAAACTCCAGTCCCTGCACTGGCCAAAGCAGGTGCTCAGTCCACTGAGCTATCTCGCTGACCCTTGGTAGCTTTTTTTTTCCTCCTCTTTCAATCCCCTTTCCCTTCACTCTCTCCCCTTTGCGTCCACCTCTTGATATCTTCCTTTTTATTGTCCATGTTTCCAGCACACGATGTTTACATTCCTTGCGCAGAGTTGGTACATCTGCACAGTGCACCTTAATTCCTTTTTCTTTTTTTCCCATAATTTTATTGAGAAACAAATAGCAATGAGGCAGTTTCAAATCAAATTGGTAGGACAGTTTCAATAATTAACACATTGCATACAATCTTCCTAGTGGTTAATTGCTGTACAAGATGTGGACATGATATCTTATTAACAAACACTATTAGAACAAATCCCTCTATTTATTAAGAGAATGTAACTATATATCTATCCTAACCATTTTGAATACACAGATACAAAATGGACATTCATTTGTATCTCCTTTTTTTGGTTAAGTTCCTTTTTCTTAAAAGACTTTGCCTTAGAGAAACTTCCAGAAAGAACTTCTCTTAATAGTGATAGTAAGCTACAAGCGAGGTTTTGCATTGAATGAATAAGTAATTTTTAAAATAAAATCATACTTTAAGTGCTGTTGTAAGCTTGGAAAATAGTTAAGGAACAAACTTGACTTTATGAGGGCTGGGGAAATGGCTCAGTAGAGTAACAAACTTGGCTTTATGAACGTAAGTGTAATCTTTATTTATACTTTATTTTTAAGATGATTTTTTATTTTCAAAAGGATTCATTTCCACTGAAAGTCCGGGGCATCCATTTGTTAAATGAACCAGTAATTTTCCATGCTGTATTTTCCATGATTAAACCATTCCTGACTGAAAAAATTAAGGAACGGGTAAGTAAAACCTGTTGAAGTCACTATTCTTTTACACCAAACAATCTACCCCCTTTTCTAAGGACTTCTTTATTACCTCTCCCCATACCCACCAGCCCATTCTATTGGGTCATTATTTTCAGTATTTATGAAAAAGTAAACTTCTTTTAATAAATTAATAATTATTTTAATAGAAAATTCAGCACATCTTTTTTAAAATTATAATTTTATTTTATTTTGATGAGTAAAAACAAAAGCAAGAACAAAAATCAAAAATAAAGACAAAAACAGGGTAACAAACAATACATGTTCAAAAACAAGAATAGATGATTAACAATGAATGATACCTTACCTATTGTCAAATCTGCTGCTCAGATTAATAGATATAGTTATGCAAGATGGAATATATGATTGAATATTACCATGTGCTTTCAAGAAATCTTAAATTTTTGTTCTTGTCTCTCTTTTATTATCTTTTTCTAAAAAAATTTACTTTAAAGAGTATAGTAATAATTGATATGACATTACAGCACATCTGTTTTAAGGCTGATTTCTCATGTTGCCTGCTGCGGTGCAAAATGGTATATTCCCTGTAGAGGGCAGTGTGGCACTAGTTATCAAAGTCACAGCCTTTACACACTTGAGAATTTACCCACAGCTATATACTGTGACATGAACAAAATCACAGGTACGAGAGCATTCATTGCTGAACAGTACTGGAAATCACCAAGTATCCATCTTTAGGGGACTCATTAAATAAGTTATGATACATCCACACAGCAAAATACAAGATTGGTGAGATAAACTATAAGAAGAAACATTGAAAATGCAGAGTGGTATTGATGGTATGCTACCTCTTCTATAAAAAAGGAAGAACTTAGAATATGTAATTATATTTGAATTAAAATTATATAAAAGATTATACAGGAAAATAAGAGACTACCTATAAGAAACAGAGTGGAGATGTAGACTGGAGTAGATGAGAGTTGCCAGGAAAATCTCTCTGTGTAGCTTGATCTTTTCCTTTCTTTCCTGGTTCTGAGGATTGAACCCAGGCCTTCACACTGAGCTGTATCTGAAGGCCTGTCTGGTTTTTATTTTGACACAGGGTCTCGCTGCATTGCCCATGCTGGACTCACACTTGTAATCCTCCTGCCTCAGCCTCCTGGATGCTGAGGTGATAGTATGCACCCCATGCCCAGCTCACTGTGTATTTATTTTACCTTATTTTGACCTCTAATCATGTCAATGTATTATTATTATTATTATTATTATTATTATTTTGTATTTTTTAGGGAAGGTCTACAGACTGTTCAGGGTCTCACTATGTAGATCAGACTCATAGCGATCCATCTGTTTACAGCTCCCCAAGAGCTGAGATTACAGGCATGTGCCACCACACCCAGTCTCAACTGCCATTTCAGCATGCCCTGGGGTCAGGCTGACACAGCAGGCCCGGGGATCCAACCTCAGGCTCCTGTGTCTGCCTCCAGGTGCTTTATTCTGCTGAGCTATTTGGCTGGCCCATGTCAATGTATTATTGTACAAATAAAAATATTCTTCTTAATTGAAACACAGAACTGAAAGCCATAACACCTGAATTGTGTGACTTAATACTATATTAGTTAAGAAAATAAATGTGATGGGTTTTGCTTAATCTATCCTTCGACAGTATCTGTGAATAACCTAACATTTTTGAAGGGTTAAAATAGAGTTCTTGAATTTTAAGAATCACCTTCTTCTACAACAATCTGTGGAGAATTAATAGAGTATTTAGACAAGCGTTGGCATCATTTACTGCCATGAGCACTCAGCATTTTTTAAAAACTTTGAAAATGCAAATGTAAAGGTCATTTCAATGTAAATAGTGATAATTGAGTTATTATGCTTTAGCATTGCAACTTTAATTAATTAAAAATTTTCCATCACCATTTCTCTCTCTCTTTTTTTTTTTTTTTTTTTTTTTTTTTTTTTTGCATTGGGATTCAAATCCAGGGCTTCAAGGATGTGACAGCTTGTGAGGCCAGTCCTGTACCACTGAGCCACATCCTCAATTGCAGGAATTACATGTTTTATTTTAATAAATGATAAGAAAGGCTGGGCATGGTGCTGCACACCTATCATCCCAGTACGTGGGAGGCTGAGGCAGAAGGAGTTCTGTGAGTTTGAGACCAGCCTGGGCTCCAAAGTCAGCTCCAGGCCAGCCTGAACTACACAGTGAGACCTTGTCTCAAAAAGACAAAAAAAAAAAGATTAAAAAAAAAGAAATTATGACACTAAAATGTAAGTATCAGAACTAACAATCATAATTGTCTAATTTTAGTCAAAACTATACAATATAACATTAGTTATTCCTCATACACCCAACTATGTGCTATGATATGTTTGTATTTACTATGAACATTGGGTAGTACATTTTTACTATCTTTCCACCAATCTTGCATAGTTATAAGAATGCAAATGAATAATAAAATTCTAATGAATAATAAAATTTTTAGATTCACAGCCGCATAAATATAAATTTTAATTTTATAATTTTGGTACTTATAAAGAATATAAATACATGTACTTCTCTCCTACCTTGAAAGTTGCTAGAGGATTTCATGATGATGATTTTTCCACTAGACGTAGATCTAACACAGCGAGCGGGAGGGACGCCTTCTAAAACACTGTGGTTATTTCAGGTCCACATGCATGGCACCAATTACAGACAAAGCTTGCTGCAGCATTTTCCTGACATTCTTCCATTGGAATACGGTGGTGAAGAGTTTTCCATGGAGGATATTTGTCAGGAGTGGACAAATTTTATAATGAAGTCTGAAGATTATCTCAGCAGCATTTCTGAGACCATTCAATGAGAGATATTTTATCCAAATGGTTTCCTAATTGAAAGTGCCTAAGATCTTATGTGAATGCAAGAAAAAAAAATCTTTTAATTACTGCTTGTTTACTGATCTTTAAAAAAGTAAAAATGTGTAACATGAGCAATATGGATGTCTAAAAAGCTTTTAAATCTTCTCTTCACTTTTGAAGTACTTAAATGTTAATATACTTGAATAGCATAAGAGAGATTCCTAATGTCTGCACTTGAAGAAATAATATAGGAAGTGACTTCTAAAGCGGCTATTCATGCGCATGTTTGTGTTTTCATAAAACTTGATGTTGAGCAAGTTTTCTGATTACATTTTAGTCACAGATTTATAAAATCTACTTAAAGAAATAGGGCACTAATCAAGTGAGTACAAAAAACTATTAACACTCATTTTCTGTGGGTGCCAAACTAGATTATAATTCAGACCAAAATCTGAACAGCTTTACAGGTACTTCTTCAGGCCAGCAGGATAGTTCATCTCAGGAAATCCTATTTTAGCACATTTGCACAATACAAACTTTTGACTGCAGAGTCTGTATGCCACACTGTCATATATAGTCTACAGATCTACATAGTGACAGTTAGTAGCTGATTAAAATATAATTTTAAAGATATTTCAGACACAGAAGATATTTATCAATGCTGTTTTGTATTTTTTTAAATAGAGAATGTAATTTTGACTTGTTTGTGGCAATATTTTTCTTTTCTTTCTCTTTCTCTCTCTTTCTCTCTCTCTTTCTCTCTCTCTCTCTTTCTTTTGTGCAGTACAAGGGATCAAACTGGGAACCTTGTGCTTGCCAGGCAGGCACTTAAGCCATTGAGCTATCTTCCTAGCCCCTGGTTTATGGTCATTCTTATGATGATATTACATAGAGATTTAGAGTGATAAAAATATTTAGTTCTCTTGGGCCAGCCAGAGAGCTCAGTGGACTAAAGCGCCTCCATAAGCCAAGTGCTGCAGCCGGGGTTCGATCCCTGGCGTGCCATGCCGGTCATGCCCCAGGGGTGCCCTGAGATGTCCATTGAGACTGGGTGTGGCGGCGCATACCTGTAATCCCAGTGCTTGTGGGGCTGAAAACAGGAGAATCACTACAAGTCTGATCTGTAACGAGACCCTGTCAACCCTGTACTAAATACATTAAAAAAAAATTACTTGTCTTATACATGGAATTTTTGGTTGAATAATTAACAGATCTGTACAAAAGAAATGTTTACACTTCTTAAATAATTGTTAATTGCACCTGATATTTCTGTTATACATAAACTAATTTTACTCATATCAGAATATACTGAGTCCCACAATTCTTACCTCTTAAAAGTGACTAAGATATAATGTTTGTAGTGTATTTTGTATAAAGAATATTTCATTTACCAGAAAGATAAAATATCACCCTTTTAGTCAAGATATTTTTCAATTTCTGATGTAATTTTTATATGTAGTATTTTGCAATTGATTTTATTTTAAACATGAAAATAAAAGAATATAGCGTATGAAATTTGTTGAACATACATTCAGCTTGTTAGGTTTCAACGTTAATCATACAATTGTATCTTTGTGCAAAGATATTTTGCTGTGTGAAGGGTGTTTTTCTTCATAAGAAAATTAGTCAAATCAAGTGAGCTGATATTTACAATTCTTTGAACTTATGTCTATGATGAAGCTGAGTAATTGTGGATGTTCTTTAGAGAACATGTTCGATTTTGATGTAATAATGAGATGCTAACTTGACATTATACCTTTTATAAAAAATGAGATCTTGCCTATTTTACTAAAATAATTTTAAAGTTTATGACTGGTCTGAGTGCAGTAGTGTTTACAACTAATTGATCACAACCAGTCTATAAAATCATATAATTTCAAATCATGTAATTCAAATCATAATACAAAAATCACTTAAAAGGATAAACAACAACAATGGAACACCTGCAGTTTGTCTACTATTTATCTGAGGAGGCTATTTGTATCACAGGTTCTATGCATTTACGCTTGCCTTCTTAAAACAATTTCTTATGATTATGAGAAGGAAAGATTAACACATGAATAAATAATCACATTTTAAAATGTCTTACATGCATTTCATTAGTGATGTATTTAAGAGTCAATACATTTAAAGTAAGTTGATCAGTGCAGCTACCTTTCTGATGGATGACTGGAATTTTATAAAATAAAGTACTCTCTGAGAAGCATTATAAGAACAATGTAAAATGAATAGGTAATTTTATGAAATGTCAAGTTTAAGATGTATTTGTTTATATTTAATTACTGATTGCATGAAATGTGCCTTTTGGAGGGTTAACTCTATATGTGCTCATTATGTTACTGAACTGAACAAGTTTATTTAATATTGTTTAAAATATTAAACATCTTTCACTTAAAACAATTTGTTTGAAGTAGAATATGAGGCATTATATTTCAAACCTTCTTTTCCCAGGTGTGTGTGTGTGTGTGTGTGTGTGTGTGTGTGCGCGCGCACTGGGGATCATATCCAGATCCTCATTCATGAGAAGGAAGCACTCTACCAACTGAGCTACATTCTGAGTTCTTTTTATAAATTTTAATGAAAATTTGAATTTTCCGGCTGCAGAGTTCAAAATGATCTTCCTTTAGTACCCTTTGCTGGAACCACATGTTACTAGGGAAACACAAACTAATTTCATAAAGCTAAGACATACATACATAAGATGTTAAAACTCTATGAAAAAAAGCCACAGCATGCCACTTATTCAGATAATGATTTTTCTTTAATAGAATTTACTTTTAGAGAGGTTTTGGGTTAATAGCAAAGTCCAATACATAGTGAAAGATAATCAGGATTTTGTCAAACTTGATTTTTCTTACAGAAAGTACTAAAGCTCTGTTGGGAATATTATCTTTGTTTCTTGTCTAAAATAAGCCTGGAGAAACAAAAATGTCAGGCCATATGAAAAAGAGGCACAAGCTCAGTTAACTGGTAACATATTGTTGGAGATAGTCCTTATAAGCCCGCTATGTTGAATTCTAGCATACTTAGATGCTGTGGGAGAATCATGAGTAACAGAAGTGGAACTAGAACTGAGAGTAATAAAATTATGATTGGCAGCATGATGTTCCCACTAATTTTCTGTTTAGCAAGGATATATACCATCTTCGTCTACTCCCATGCTTAGGACTTGACTGACTGTTCTCTATCCAAGTCAATCATGCCCATTTCTCTAACATAAATTTTAGTGTTTTTATTGTTTCAGTGTTTTGATTAACACTGTACATTGAATTATGTGCTATACTGATCAGGAAAAGAAGTAAAATCTATCAAAAGAGGGGGTGGGGAAATAGTTCTAAGTGTTTGCCTGGCAAGCACAAGGACCGAAGATCAGTCCCTGGTACTTCATGCCTTGCAGGCCTTGGAATGCTGTGTGCACTATGCCAGCCACTGAAACTGGGGATAGCTGTGTAGAGAGACCCTGTACCAAATAAATAAAATAAATAAATAAACAAACAAATAAATAAATAAATACTGTTTCCATTACTCTTCTCTCATTGCCGGGACAAATACCCAACACCCAAAATGAAGGAAGGAAAGGTCTATTTAGCTCACAGTTTGTGGAGGTTTCAGTCCATACAAAGCTGGCTCCAAGGCATCCTGGCACATGGCAGAGGGCAGCAGTTCATGGTGGCAGAATCTAGAAAAACAGCAAGAGCAAAAGGGAGGAATAACAGCAACAATGGCTATAGAGATCAAGTCTGTCTCTCTGTCTTTATGTTACATTCAGGCTATCTGCTGCAGGTTAGGTGTAGCACTCACACCCATAATCCCAGCAGTACACAGACTCATAATCCCAGCAGTACTCAGACCCATAATACAAGTGGATCATGAGTTAATCACAAACTAGAAGTCTACCCCATGACTACATGAGACATTGGGGAGACAACTAGACACAAACTATAACATTCTGCTCCTGGTCCCCGAAAGTCTCATGCACATCCTTTTGTGCAAAAGGCATTTCAGTCCATCTCTGAGAGTTGCCAAAGTCTCAACTGTTTCAGCATTGCTGAAAAATCCAAGTCCCAAGTTTCCTCCAAGATCCAAGGCAAAGCTTTAGCTGTGAGCCCCTGTAGAAAAGAAAAGTTAGACACTTCCAACATTCAAAGGCATCAGATAAACATTACCATTCCAAAAGTTGCAAACAACAGGGAATAAAAAGTATTGGGACTAGCACAAGTCCAAAATCCAGCAGGGCAACATTAAGTCCTGTGGTTCCATGTGGAACATCCAAAGCATTCTATGGCAAATTGTGGGCTCCATGTGGCTCCACCCCATGGCACTCTTGGTGGTAGCTCCATGGCTTCTCTCTTAGGCCCGCTTTGTTCCCTCTTTGCAGTTTCCCTTATAAAGTAACAATATGATCCATATTCCTGGCTTTTCCAAACTTATGGGTTTTCCACTGAGTAGGCGTCACACTCACAGCTTTACACACTGCCCTCCCAGGGCCACACTGCCTGGTCTCCCAGGCCTTCTCAAATCGAGGTGGAAGCCTTGTTAACCTCAGAACTCCTACATTCTGCAAGCACCTAAAACCAACGCCATGTGGATGATGCCAAGGCCTGCTGCGGTGCTTGCTGAAGGCCAAGGGATACAGAATGGGTACCGAAAAAGGGTAGTTCTAAATACCAGCTATGACCCTATAACCAGCTACAGAAAAGAGGATTATAATTATACTATTTCACCGGCATATGGTTCTGTTATAATATTGGTGGATTTAATACCAGTTCTTAAGGATTATTAAAACTGAATTAATATTGAAATTATCAAATGATTAACCATAAGCATCAAGCAAAGAAAATCTGCCTTTTTTGGTATGGCAATTAGTGTGTTTCTGTTTGTATGCAGGATAGTTATAACACGATAGGTGCAATTATATGCATGACTTTGTATATGGAGACTGGTTTAAAGGAATACATCTAGTTGTCAAGTTGACAAGGGGTGTATTGTATTGGTTGGTTGATTGTGTCAACTTGAGATGCTAAGAGCCTAACTAAATCCACTCAGCAATTCCACACCCTAGGGTGTGGAGGCCACACTCTAAATTGACTCATCACTTAAAGGAGAAGGAGGAAGGACAGAAGTTCCCATTCTTCCTTGGAGGAGCTCCAGCCTTGGCCATCAGCTTGGATGTTGTCTCCTGGCTCTAGCACAGAATCTTGGCTTCTGCTTTGGACCCTTCAGCCTTCTGCTGTAGACTCATCAGCCTTCTGTCATAGATCCATTGGCATCCTGATATGGACTAGCACAGAATACAGTAGTGGGCTCCAGACCTTGAACTGAATCCTGCAGTCTCCTTTGTGCAGATTCTGTGGCCGAGTATCATAAGCCAATTTTGGAATTTCTTACGCATTTGTGCAACTTGTGTTATATCTGTACCTCTAGTAAAACCCTGACTGATACAAATACCAAAAGAGCTATTAATTGGAGTATACTGCAAAGAACATCAGGGTAATTCCAGTGAAATGCATTGGGAAAGTAAATGCACCTTGAGACCATAATGTTTAGT